CCTTTCCTCTGTGAAAGTTAGCAACAGTTTGCAAGAGCACGAGTATAAACACAAGGCTGTAAAGGTTGACTGATGAGCAGATTGGTTTTTGTGTTCAGCGTGATGACATTTAACGTCCCCGACAATCTCCGTAGTCTCATTTAGCCACTTGGTTGTAACCACCTTTTTATCGTAATGCTGTAGAATAAAAACGTCAAAATGTCATCAGCTTGTGTTGACCACAGACCTTATTTCCGGCATCAAACCTAAAACCCATCGACTTCAGGACAAGGGAACCAGAGGTGCAAAAATTCAAACTTATTCAGTTTATAAATTGTGTCACATCCAATCACACTATTTGCTTAGTTCATATGGAGTATTCGTTTGGATAGCGCTGTTATTTATCTATGAGTGCTATATGTAAGCTAAGTATTGTTATTAGAAAATTCAGTCGCTGATAACCAGCTATCCCTGGCTCGTTTCCCGCCTGCAGGCAGACTGGAACTCCAAAATCTTGGACTGCAGCTGTCGACAGTGGTTCTTGTTCTGCTCTGGTGGAAAACTTGTACATGTCATGCTACTCCAAGCTCACGAAGCCTGCAGAGCAGAATAACCACTGCTGTTGCCAGCTGCAACAGGCTAGGTGTTTAACAGTTAACAGTGGGCTGGTTAGCAGCGTTAGCAGCAATTTACACTATTGTATGAAGCTAACTACTAACATACCTTTATAAACAATACTAGCAAAGTAAACCCTGACTTCCCTGTCAGGAACTTTTTAGGCACTTTTTTAAGCTTGTCAATAGCTCAAAGACATAGAGAGAAGGATATCAAAGGGAGTGGTAATAGTTGTATGAAAGATCAAGAAAAGTTGTGGGACGGTTATGATGAAAGATGAGAAGTTGGAGAACAGAGGGGAAAGCCGCTGTAGCAGAGCAGCTGCTGTCGGTATGAAGAGCTGGGTAGAGGGACAGAAAGACCGATTGAAGACAAGGAAAGACAGTTGACTGTGGCATCTCTAAATGCTACTGAGGCAGAACAGGAGGCCTTATGTAAGTGTCTATTAGTGTGGGTGAGCAAGCGATAAAGCATTTTACTGCAACAGTGCCAGAGCTGCGCAACAAGAGTTTCCTTCCCTCTTGATAAGTGTTTCTTGCTCTCTCTGTCCCTAAGGGATCCTCCTGGAAGACAGATGTACAGAATACAACCAACATGTAGATTACTAGTCATGAAACATTATGTGAAGATTTATAATGTGACATATATAATTGATGCAAAACACGCTGGAGCCACTTCTAACTTAGTCAATGTAAAATTACCTCTGTAACAGAGCAGACTGTTACATTCCTTTATTGCCTCCTACTCTACTCTTCACTTATGAAATTGATTTTGTCTCTCTTCTTCACTGCATAAGAGTAGATGATTAAACTCTCATTAGGGCATTGTACACAAGCACACAGCACATATTTCACCCATTAGCCAGAGCTTCTTCTAGAGGTCCTCATTACTGTTAAAGAATGAATGATTCAGAGTCTGCTGCGAAGCTGCACCCTGAAATTAAATTTAAAAAATGTCTTTGATACTAGATCCTCACTCCTCCACACACCTCTAAGTCAGAATACAGTAAAGCTGCAGTGTTAGATGATGAGTTGTCTGCTACAAACTTCTGAGGTTATGAACTGTATATGCATCAGCTAACCCAGATCTTGAGGTTGACCTAGAAGACGTGCCAGATGCCTATCTAACCCCCACCCCAGCCCCACCGCCATCCCCCTTGCATACCGCCATTCATTGAGGATGACCTTTCACCCCTGCCTGTGTCAGTGCAAGAGCCTTAACCTCTTATGGTCTGGAAGGGAGAAAAAAGGCTACATGGAAGCATGAAAATGCTGCATCAAATTCAGATGGAATTTTGCAACTCATGATAACACTGCCACGAAAACACGTAGAAGCAAATATGGTTTATATGGAAATACAAAAGAAAACAACCACCTGAGAAAGGAGCAGGCTGCTCTACTCCAGAGACTATGTCAGCAGTCTGGAAGTGGGTTAGACATCCCAGACAAAAGTGGGGGTGGGTAGCTGTTCTCCTGACTCTGACCTTCAACAACCGGCTGTAATGTCTCCTTTGGGAGAAGAGAATTGGTGGTGGGGTGGTCGAAGGGGGGTGGAGAAGTGGTGCATTGCCTGCCTGTCTTGCCTAAACCCTCCCAATGACTCTAAGCAGACTGAGTCAAAGCCTGGGCAATAATTATGTTTAAAAAAGAGTTGTCTCTTCCCCGCCACCAGCGACCCCCCTCACTGCAGTTGGTTGCTCTGGTGTCTTGTTTATGCCGATTCAGTTTTTTCTATTCATGCAACCCCACTGTGGTGACAGTGTACCTGACCAAGGACAGATAAGAAAGAAACGCTTTTCACATCAATACAAAATGCCCCATCCCCTCATCATTTCGTCACACCTCTTTTTTTCATTCAAACTGGTCTTTGTTCTGTTATCAGTGCACTGGATCCCACACTGATTCGTATTGACAGGTAGAACGAGCTCTGCTACAAGGGTGTGAGTGAAAGAGAGACTTAATCAGAGACAGAACAAGAGAGACACACACACACACACACACACACACACACAGGCAAGGTTGACAAGACGGGTGGGAGTGCAAAATATACGGTGTAGGTTTGAATGTGTTTAGAAGAATATGCAAGTGTGAGGGAGGGAATATATTGGTTCCTCCTCTTTCTTCCTCCAAGGTCTTTGCCCAGGCTTGTCTAAAGGATAGTGACCTACTTTGCAGCATTTGCAAAATGACAATACAAGGTGTGAATGCACTGAAAGTTGTACCTGACAAACAATAGACAAGTGATACAGTGGTTAATGTAAAACACATAGATTTGAGCAACTGTTTTATAGCGAAGGTCTCTTTAAACATATCTAATCCTGTAACACAATGGTGGTATTACCTACGCTGGTGGGGAGCAAATGAAAATAAATGGTTTTGTTGGCATTATCCAAAGCAGGGCACAGAGTGCACCAATGCACAATCAGTCACACCCACATGCACAGATGCGCAAACACACTGGGATGGTAAGGGCAGACTTGCCACCGTGACCCTTACTTGGAGGAAAATAGTTGCTTCATACCGTGGTCTAAAATTGTACTAGTGTAGTATGACTGTGTAACTTGGTGAAATTGTTGCATTTTGTTCTAAACAAAGTAGCAGCTAAAGTGCCCTTTTCAAAGTGCTTTTATAATTTGTGATGAGCACCACATGCACATACATCTGCATAACAGTCAGAGCTGGAATGGGTTTAAGAACGTTCACCTAACTGAGTGAATACGAAAATGATCTAAACCAAAATGTGAATTATGTCTAAGAAAGCTGATTGTTTCATGGTGAAAGAGGAGTGAAGAGCCTCTTGTCACCAACTACAAAACAAAAAACCAATTTAAGCAGAGTAAAGATAGGGATTTAATCTGACACACTGTTATATAATGTTATGCAACTTATTTTAGCGGCTGTGCAGTGTCAATGCAGAGTTTGTTATTGTGAGAGCAGCCTGCTGACATTGATGTCATCATGCTGAGGAAAAGACATGTTTCATATGTGGTGAAGACGTGGATGGTGAGGTGAGAACGACTGCTTTGCTGTCTGTAGTGGGCAAATGTGCATACACACTCGTACATCCTCTCACAAAGTGGAAGGTTCAACATCACTTGGGTTTAAACACATGTTCAGTCTTGCATGCTCCCCAGAGAGCCTCCCTCACATCATACATGACCACCGGCATGTGAAATTCATGTGATGATGAGAGAAAAAGGAAAGGAGTAAGCGTGGTGTTTTTCTATTTAGCACACTCTATTATCTATAATATTAGTATCCCAACATTTTAAAATGATCATATACTGTGGCTCAGAAAAGGGCATAATGCCTCCATGCATCTTTAAAAAAAAAAAAGCTGCCTAGTTTGTAGATACAACTGTACTGCCACCGGATAGTTTGTTAATGTGTAAGCGCCAAGGTGATGCACACAGTAACCAATAGCTGTGTAATATAAAGGAAAGAGTGCCTAGGCACCGCCTGCAGCCTCTCCCAGTCCTCTTTACTGTTACATAACCACTTATCAGCTCACTAGGCTTGTCCCTGGATGCATTTTCTGCTTACGCTGTGCGAAACAGTGTGTGTGTGTGCATATACGTTTGCTCAAGGACTATCTGTCCTGAGCACAAATGTGTGTGTGTTCAAAAATGATGTGAAACAATGGGAGCAAACTTTAACTGCACTGCACGTGAGACATCAAACAAAACACACTTTCACACAACAAAGTTCATCTTCCTGCCTGACATACAGCGAGCACATGACGCTGATAAATCCACTAGCCTTAGTCAAGCAAGACATTGAAATGCCTGATCAGTATAACTTTCCAAAACATAGTGAACTGATTCATCCGTACATAACACCAACATACTGTAACTATCCCATTCTTTCTCTCTCGTTTCCTTCTGTCAAGTGATTGGGCAATCCTGGCCCTCATCTCAAGCTCTGGCTCTCTTAGGGCATATTTCAAAACTATTCTGGATGGAACACCAAACATGTGGTCAGTTGACCAGTACACCCCCACACCATTCATGCCCAAACCACTGCACAGTTGTAGCCAGGGGGTGAATTCCACTTCTAGTCAAGACTCTGTTAAGGAACACAGGTTTGGTCAAGTATGAAAATTGCCTGTGTTGATTATATATAACACCACAAAATCAGTGTCAAATCAGCTCCTGGACTGGGCTGAACAGAATAGAGCTGTGCACACATAAATAGGTCTGGTAGTTAACTATGTGGGGCTGATTACACATCTGCCTGAAGCTCGTGTTCCGGTGCCAAGCCAAAGTTTGAATTCCATCAAATGACTGCATTGCTTGGAGGTGTTGCTTCTCTCACTTAACATGCAACAAAAGAGTAGAAAGTACAATTAACCAAAGATAGAGATACAACAGGGGTTGGTGATAGTGTATGTCAGCAGCCACTCTGTACCTGTTTCTAGGGACAGGGATGTGGGAAGAGGGGAGGGGCTGTCTTTCTGTCGGCGGTACGTTCTGCACTTGTGCTGCCCTGAAGCTGTTGGCCAGCTCTGCCTGTTTCCCTGGGTTGTTGATGTCCAAATGCATGAAGCCACCTTGCAACTGCCCTTTTATGACTGGGCAGTGAGTGGGACTGGCCCTCTTCAGGATCCCAGTGGAACCAGTGTCTTTTTGGTCCCCCCGGCCAGTCTAGGAAATGAGGCAAAAACACATTAAAGTCAATCTATCATTTATAGGCCAATTACTAGTGTGCCTGCATCAGAAACATTACATCTGGCGATACTGTAGATTTCTAATTTGATTCATGATAGAAATCCTGAAGTGACTTCATCAGCAAGGCAGTGTTATTTGGAGTTCAACTATTTGTCTTGAATAAACAATAGCAGAAAAAGATTATCAAAATAGTTGCTAATTGATTGTCTGTCAATCAATCCGTCACCTTATTGTTGCAAAACAATATTCACTCAAATGTTCATTCAAAAACCTACCCACCTAATAGAGCTTAAGTTCATACCTACTGCCAGGTATTGACACACTTCAATTTAATAGAAACAGATTCAGCAATTCACTGAATTTATTTGAATTCGATGTTGACTGATCCATAGGTGTGGCAATTCGCCATCTATGCATATTTGATGTTGCGGGGTCAATTAGAAACTATATGACATGAATAAATTACTGACCCTGCAAAGAGAAATACAAATGGGCCACGAAATGTTGAAAAGGTAATGCAAAAAATATACATGCAATGCAAGTATAAGTACGATGCAAACGACAAGCTGCTGCATGGAGGGGGGACAGAAATAATTCTCCCAGGTCTTTTTTACAGGTACATATTACTTATTCAGTCGTGTGTAAGGAGACGGGCCTCGCTGTGCAGCCAGGAAGCCCTTGTTGAAGCTCCACCCTGAAGTTATGGGGGGAGGGGGTTAGGCTAGTAGTTAGAAGTCCCTGCCCCCCTTTTCTGTAAACTTTGCTCACAGACTGAGCCGCCATTTAAAGCCGTTTGGATGCAACGTAATTACTTACGACGAAGCTTTGACAGAAGTCGGTGAAATTACTGACCCTTTGCAGAACTGGGTTATGAGTTGTAAAGGCGGTACTAAATACACAACGCAAGCAACATAATATACAGTAGTTGAGTCTCGTGTGACCGCCACAGTCATATTTCAACCGTTAAAATGTAATAACGACGTGTGAGAACCGTGTAAACTTAAACTTTTAACTATACGACGTAACGACAAGTTCACGTTACATACTCAATGTTATATATATTGTAACTTGGCTGTACAGTTGACTTTACCGGTTAATGGAGTCGTGCGTGCGCACTTAACACGGCTAACGACACTTACTTTTTCCATGTGCAATATTTGACCACCCGGAGACAGTCCGTTCCCTTTTGAGGAGGTTCTTTCGCCGTTCACCTCCGCCGCTGAGCCCACGTCCACTACGAATTTGTAAAGGACGGGCCCGTGTGTGTACACCGGCATGGGACCGTTTTTCTCTACCGTGGGGACCCGGGTGTCGTGGAGCACGGAGCGGCCTGCCCGGCAGGAATCCACTCCTCCGACACCGACCCTTGTCCCAACCGACGACTTCTCCAAAATATATCTGGAATCCATTTTCAGACGGGGCGAGTGGAGACTAAAGAAAGAAAACCAGCTTTCTATAGATTTTAGTGCAAACTGCGGGAGTTAGATACATTTATCAGGATTGTCGCGAGTTGATTGGAATTGTCTGTGTCTTAACTTATATTCTAGTCTACATGTAAAGTTTTCCACCACCGCCGCCACCACCACGACCCAGGATATCCAAAAAGCCGCCCGGTCAGGAGGATAAAAGATTGTTTTGCCTCTTTCCTCCAAACGAATGCCACGCCCCCTCTACTTCACTCCCATTGGTCCGTTGCATACATAAACATTACATTTTGGCACGCGTCCATGTCGAAGCGGCCCCTGATTGGCTGCTTTCACCGTGCCAATCACTGTTTTTTTCTAAACCACGTAATGTGGGTGGAAGACAGGAGGGGGCGTGTCGTACAGTTTACCGGCCGGTGTCTATCGACGATGAGCCGGTCTGCGAAGCAAGCGAGGGGGGAGAGCAGAGGGAAAACAGCCTGCAGGCCTCAGCGGCAAACTGCGCATTTACGTTTCTGCAAATCAAGTGATGATTTAGCGGATCCTGTTTAACCGACATGAACTGCACTTTGCAACCGTGTTATTATCAATGAAGTGAGCCTCTAGGTCCGATCGTTTACTCCACCACAAGTTATAAACCCAATTAATTATTAGAAGTGTAAGCTATTCATCTTATAGCCTTTTTTGTTATATGTAAAACTAACACAATAGTGTCTGGAAACAATAATCAGTGGTGGAAGAAGCACTGAGAACTTTTAAAGTCACAGTATTAAAAAATGCTCCGTTACAGATAAAAGTCCTGAATTCAAAATCTAAGTATTAGTGTTGGGAATGTTATTTTTAAATGTAATAAGTAATGCACCTTTTTAATTACTTCATAAAAGTAATGTAACGTATTGTATTTGATTACTTTTCAGTATCATTTGAGGGGCCCTGTTGAAATTTCACAACCTAATGACATCTCCAAGTTAATATTTAATGAAAACACAATGCTGAATTAAATTAATGAGTATTATTAGATCTCATACCTATCACATATCTGACCCTTGTTGTGCAGATATGCCAAAAGAAGACATTCTTGCCAGAAGATGCAAAGCAACAGAATCAATGTTACTGAGTATTACCATTAACATTTATTTATAGTATCAAAAGTAAAGGTATGCCTTATGCAAAATGCACCACTCAGAGGCACCCATATATAGAGAGAATACTGAACTTAAAAATTGAGACCCAGCCACTCCCCTCTGCCCAGTTTCCCGCCTGCTGGACACTCCGCCCCTGCACACACCTGTTCCATTTTACCTAATCATCCCCTCTGTATATACACGTCCTTGTTTCTATGCACCAGTTGTCAGATTGTCTTCATACTCACTGCCAAGCTCTCAAGACCTTAGTTTGCATACCTGCCCAATTCTGTTTGCCTGCCTGCTTCTGCCTGACACCTGTTTGTACCATTGTACCAATCCAGTAAAGACTCATTACCTGCCTTCGTTGACTTGGAATATTAGTGTGCATTTACATGTAAGCAGCATTTTAATGTAATGGAGAAGAATGAAGGAGCGGAAAATGGAAATATTCAGGTAAAGTACAACTACCTCAAAATTGTACTTAAGCATAGTTCCTGAGAAAATAAACTTAGTTAGATCCGGCCAGTGGCAATAACATGGATCCCTGTGCAAAATAATGCAATCAAAGAGAAAAACACTGCATCCAAGTCTTACATCTAAGACAATTTTGAGATCCCATTTGTGACTTGATTGCATTATAACATGGACAAAATGACAGAAACACCTTGCTTTTGCTTTGCATTTTTAGGAAAATTGCATTAGATGCTTCACAAAAGTAATATTTTTCATATTTCTTTGTTTTTTTCATGTGTCCACTTCCTTTAGATACACTGTGAAAAGTGCAGTCCTATTGCAAAATATCTGGCTGACTAAACTGTTCCTGCCTGACCTTTTTTCAGCAATGTTCTTCCTCTAAAATTAGTGATTGGTAGAAACATGACATTCATGAACATGATAAAACAACAGGTTTTTTCTTTTATTTCAGTTGTTGGGGACATCTCATTGTTCCTTTATCTAACCTATTTCTGTCTGCACAGCCCAGCCACTCTGGTTTATTGCTTAATTTTACACAAATGCATTTTACTGCACACTGCATTTATTGCAAAGTACAATTATTACTGTGAGGCTGCCACAGAGCTCTAACAACTGACACCATACTGTTGCCTGGTTTGATACCCTGTACAAAGCAATAAGACTGCAGGCAAAAGACAAACACACTTTATAATGTGCCACTTTATTAGAAAAGTAAAAACTCACTTTAATATTTTATGAAGGTTAATATAAAACATTACAATCTTTTGCATATCTGCACTGTCACTATGTTTTATTATATTTACTATTTTTAAACTAAACCCTGTGCTTTAAGAACATACAACATTGGCTACAGCTGTCACAGCAGTATTGGCCCATAATTATATCTGAAGACAATTAACAAACAGCATCTGTATCTGCATGGAAAGCATGAAACATTTTGCGTCCACAAAGTACAATGTGTCTGTGATAACCATCTTTTTTTCTTTTTTTTTAACAAATATACTGTATACTGTATGTTACATTGGAACAACATCAGAACAGCAACAGAGTATTATACACATTTACATCATCATACTGTATTTGTGCAATGAACATCTGTCTCGATCAGTGTTCAACAAAATATATCAGATCAGTGCTTTCTCTCAGAATAACGAAAATGTGACACAAAGTGACAGCCAGAGAAAAAGGATTAAGTGTGATAGCGATTTCCAGCCAGCATTGTCTAAAGGTGGCCTCAACAGAGCTTGTTAAGCGTCTCAGCTGTTAGCCATTTCTCATATCAGACAGTAGTTGAGCCGTTGGTTCCTCGTTGATATCAGACTGGGGTTGGCCTGACCCGTAGCCTTGCCTTGCCTTGTCCCCCCCCCACAACCCCCATATAACTCCCTGATTCCCTCAGAACTGGACATCAAAGGCCCCTCCCCTGCACAACGAGGGAGCGATGTGAAGCAGAGAAAAGAGAGGCCTGTGTCGGTTACTGGAGGATGAACACAGCTGGGGGAGGGAGTGTATGCAAGGGCTGACCAAGTGGAAGCAAAATGTGCTTCCTCCCCGAAACTGGAAACGCACATGGCTCAATGTTGCAGTGTGTAAGTGTGTGTGCGCCTGACGGTGTGTGTGTGTGTGTGTGTGTGTGTGTGTGTGTGTGTGTGTGTGTGCATGCACGCAAACACAGTATTGGCAGGAGGAGGGTCCTTTGGATCTGTGTCCATTTGCGGTGGTCCTCATCTAGCTTTATACTAGCTGTTCTTCATCTCCCTCCCCCACCTCTTTCACTCTCTCACTCCCCCAGAGGGGAGGATAAACAACGCTTGGCCCTATTTCTCTACCCTCCTCCTCCAAGTTGTTGCTTTGGAAAAACTGAATGCTGCTTTGCATCACATGGCAAAAAAGTACAACAGAAAAGATCAACAAACGAGATCAATTAAGTACCACAATATTTGTTTTCATCTCCACACATTAAAGCATGCACTTTTTTGATCAAGCAGGAAAAATTGCACCAACAACATAAACTTACTGTTTTCATGGCAGTGGCATGAGCTATTTAACCAATGGTATTGTCAGTAGGTAAGAAAAAATAAAGAGTGCATTAAAATACAGAGTGCATTTAATTTTACATACTTTCTGACACGGTAGCATTAATAAATTAATGTTACTAACCTTTCTAAACCCGTTTTGTCTTTGCATGGTTGTCTCACAGTGAGCTCATTCTAATGCCTCATCTCTCAGCCTGTGAGCAGTTTGTATCCCTCTCCATCTCTTATCTTTATGCCCATTTATTAAGGCTCTAATGTTTTGTTTTCTTCCTCTTCTTTCTGTTTTAATGTTCCCCAAAGCTACATGGGAAAGACATTGTTTATCATGGAAGAGAACAGAGGCTGGAGATGAGGGTGGGCAGAGGGCGAGGGGCAACCTTCCAAAGGACACTTGCTGGTCATTTTTATGCCCAGCTCTTTATTTTTCTTGGAGTCCAAGCCTTCTGTTGCTATTTCAACCACCAGACTTAAGTCTGTTGAGCTGTGGGGAGCTCTGGCTTTGACTTGAGACCATAGAGCGAATCAGAGCTGTGTTTGGAGACGCCTTTTACGGCACGTTTATGTACATTTAAAGCCAACCAGTCCTGCATCTGTCCAGTGCAAAATAACAATGGTCATAAAGTCAGATATTTACAGAGCCCAGAAGACATGACATATTAACTGTCCGGGATGAGGCATCCTGTGTTATTTTGGGCTTTTGGGCTCTTTCACTTCCTTATTTTTTGAAAATATTCTTCTCTCATTTATCCCAGTAATACAGTAAAGGTCTAACATTGTGAAATCTGTCACCCCTATCACTCTGGGGAAATACTTGCACAACCCACTCAATGCCCATGACCTGATCACTTTACCCTGCATGACTCTGCCCAGTCTGTGTGTATCTGTATGGGGCTGTGTTGGGGTGTGTCATCATGCCTCTGGCTACAGATGTTTGTCAAATCTGAGCGTGGATTTTAAACTAATCTCATAATTTATGTGAATCTTACATTATTGCGCAAAAGTCACTTTTTATAGTCATCATGAGGACTGTTACTGGTAAATGCTAATACGTTCAGGGCACATTGATGGTCATTTGTGAAACGGGGACAATAGCATTCACTTACCTCTGTGTTTAAAGAGGCCTACAAATTATAGGCCTAAGTTTGAACAAAGCTCCAAAGCAATGGACCAGTGAGCACAGAGAACCTGTTTCAGATGTTTACTTAGTGAGAGCTAAGCACCGCAAATCTCTGTGACATCCATCTGCTTATATTTCATAAGTCCCTCCATGATGAGGCATATGTGTGTGTACGTGTGCGTATATGGGTGACAATAGCTAACAGTGTGCCTCATCATACTCCTAATATAGCCAGCTTCCTTGCTACTACTCTCCGTTTTCAGGTGTGTGTTTGTTGTGTTTTTGAATTCGCACAATGCATGCACATTTCTTTTGTTACATATATTAAAGTGTGTTTTCCCTCAGGTTGTGAGTTACACCACATACTCTTTAAAGAGTACAGTGTTCATATAAAAATAAAGATATTATGGAAAATGATGCACAAACAGGTGAGTATGGTCAGTGACACAGTAAGTTGAAGATGTATATTCCAGTTTTCTTTTCTTTGTTTTTTTTTTTTTCCTTTGTTAAAATGTATTTGGTCCATATTTGGGCTGGACTAGGCTTAGGCTGGTTCTGAAGTACAGACCAATCAAGGGGAATTTGAACCTGGATTAAGACCCTGTTTGTACCTGATGTCAACACAAAATGGATCCTCATGTTGTTTGTCTATAGAGGGCCTTGTATCTATGTACAGCAACCTGCTGACTGGTGAACAGAAAGATCCCTTTCATGACTCTGTACCAGAGGGTTCTGGGCCGTTTCTGTGTGTCACCCAGCTACAGGCCAGTGACGTACATCTCCATCCCGTCATTGAAGGTGAAGATGGTGGTGGTGCTGGAGCTGTTGCCCCCTTGTTTCACATCGCTGATGGTCTCATAGAAGTTTTCCCCACCGGGCAGGCCTCTAACAGGCAGGGCGGTGGGTCCTGAGCCCTGAGGTGCCGCTGGTGCTGCCTGCTGTTGTTGTTGTTGCTGCTGCTGCTGCTGCTGCGGCGGCGTCTGCTTCTTTCTCTTCAGAGTGGCATTACCCCCAGCCGTGTTGTTATTGGTTCCCCCCTGCTCACGTTTCCGGTGGGTGTCGATAGTGGCGTACGCAGGGTCAGACTCGGCCATTACGCATGTGGGCCAGGACCTGTCTCCGACCGGCTCATAGCAGGGCTCCTCCTGGGAACGTGCCTGGCCCTGGACTCCTCTGCCTCGGCCCCGGGAACCTGCGTTTCCTCTCTCCCCTCCAAAGGAGCGTGGGAGGGTCTTTGCTCCGTTGTTTTCCATAGGAGGTTTCTTCTTCTGGGTTTTACACACGATGGAGTAAGTGTCTGCAATCTGAGAGCACACACAGAAGGAGAGGAGGGTATGGTGTCAGTTAATGGCACTGAACTACAGTACAACTCAATCCTACAGTCTATGGGTGACAGCTCCTGAAATAGAAGGTGACTGTTACTCTGCTTCATTCACAGCCTTGTTTCTATAAGTGAATGCCTATAACCACAGCTGACACAGACTACACATGCTATACTGTGCTGGGATTGACTGTATCACTGTTTCCCACCTTTAAGCCCCAATTCCTGAATTAGCTCAGAGTATGTGCAGACTTTCCATATGTACAGTATGTATTTGTGCATTTCTGTCTCTAAGTCTTCCAGACATAAAGGGACAATATGTGAATATGAGAGCAAACATATGATGCTGCTAATTTGATGTGTGAACATGGCTTGTGTGGGTGCGCACAGTACATTGCACATGTGTTGACAGAGCTTGCTCTGTGCTGTAATCTGACCTATTTTGACAGGGCAGGATAAGGCAGAGTAAACTGTGTTATCAGTCTGTTGAGGTCTAGGCAGAGAGACAAAGTTAGCTTTGCAGTGGATGGACCTGTTAAAATTTCACCACAACTGCTTTGGCAACAGAACAGCAGGGTATGGTGTGAAAGATCTGGACTGTAGCCAACTCGCTGAGGAAAAAAACAAAAAAAACAAAACCTGCTCAGTGTTCATCAATGGACTTTGCTCACATTTCAGTTGCTTCAATGAAGCCTATGCACACATTTATGTGACTGTTTACTGCAGGTGTATGCATGTGTCCGTGAAGACAGTGTCTATGTGTGTTTTCTGTGTGTGTGTGTGTGTGTGTGTGTGTGTGTGTGTGTGCGTGTGTGTGAGTGTGTGTGCGTGTGTGTGTGTGTGTGTGCGTGCGATTACAGTGAAGCATGAAAGATTTGATAACTAGGACGCACAGCTGAAAGGCATGTGTGAGGTCTTGTGGGGAATTCAGATAAACCAGTGCCGTGACCTCTGGCATTTCTGTGTCAGAATTCCATGAGGGAAGCACAAGAGCAGAGGATTGTGGGACATAGTCATGTTTACCTTCTGTGTTCACACCCAGACCAGCAGCTCTGTTCTAGTGGCCCTGAGAAACACTGGCTATGCAAACTATCTCCCTCTCCCACACACACACACACACACACACACACACACACACACACACACACACACACATATTAAGCTTGTTTTTGTTCTGCTCCCAAAAAACTGAAACATGAGAGCACACAGACAATGAGCAACACTCTTTCTGTGTTTCTGTGCTCACCTTGCCTTCGCTTGCATGGTGCCTATATATTATGCGTCTTACATAAGAGAAATATAACTTTAGTTAAGCTGGGAAAATATGGTTAAAGTGCAAACCACTGTGACTTTAATTGTGAGGATCTCGCCCTCTTTCTGTCTCTGACAAATCTCAAGCGACACAGATACCCTGCCCCCACAAATCTCTTGTGCGACCTTTTTGGATAAACAAAGACCCTGGCGTATGCTACAAGTGTGTGCACACAATGTACAATGTGTGTGTGTGTGTGTTTGTGCAAGTGTGTGTGTGCATTTGTGCACACAGAATTTGCAGCTCTGTGCAGCAGAGGAAGGAAGTCACAAGATGATGGGGATTTCAAAACTGGGCTGCAGCTGTTGAGGAAGCCTGTGCACTGTATGTTTTCTTTTCTCCTCCCCTCAGCCTGTGCTTCTTTCTCTTATGTCTCTTCTGATACTGCTGTAGCTGTCTGCTCAGACCGAGGCGCTGAGAAGTCATATTTAATTCCTGCATACACTGATTATCCATGGAAACACAACAGCATGCAATGACTGATGCATCTGTGTGTGATCAACTTCATGAATAGCAAATATGGCACAAGTTTCCAAACGGTCTGCGAGCAGTTGATATTCATCTGGTAAGACATGCTTTGTGCGACGTGATTGGTTGGGGAAGGCAGCGCCTCCTAATAGCCACAAAGGGAGTGGAGCAGAAGGAGCGAGCGCCAGAGGAGAGGAGGAGATTTAGGTGGGAGTGGAAACTCAACACCTTTTGACGGCTGCAACTGACAACCTCCAGAGGATACAAAGTATATGGGCAAGTTAGGGCAACAACAACCTATCCAATGGAAAAACACAGCAACTAAGGGAGAAAAAAAGTTTGAAAAAGAAAAAAAAAAAACAGGGAAGAAAGTTACAAAGAAAGAAAAATAAATTGAGAGAGAGAGAGCGGAGAATGCAGTCAAGGCCAGCTGCGCTGTGTACCAGTCTGATTTGCAGAGGAGGAGTTTGACTCTTGAGCCAGAGAGCAGAGACTTAACCCCTTAATCTCCACATACAGCAGCTTCCAAACTTTTTAGCTCAACACTGGCTTAAACAAGAAACTTACCAGCAGCTTAAAACTGGTCGGTAAAACTGCCTTAAACTCAATAGATAGATAGAGACACCCCTCCATCTACTCAGAATGACTCCCCATGCACCCCAGGCATGACAGAAGTTCCCAAACTGCTTGTAACTCTCTCAGTATGTTACACTGTGTCCAGCAGAGAGTGAAGAGAGAGGTACTGAGAGGGAGAGATATTGAGTGTTGCTGTGTGTGGAAGCACATGTGGTGAGGTATGTGACATGATTGGTGAGTGCAGACCCCCCCCCCCCTCACCACCAGATATACTCTACCATATATATATATACAATTAGGTCAGCTAGGGCTGATCACATTCTGTCTGCTTGGGCTGATGAGACAAAAGAGCTAACCTTTAACAAACTCATCTATTTGAATGCAAAATGGTGATTAAATATTTGGCAGCAGGAGATACTGATGTCAGATCCGTCTGGTGAGTCATGCGTTAGAGACAGACAGATGAGCGGGGGGCTGGGAGCTTGGGGTCAGGGTTCAGGCAGGGGGTTGCGAGGGCTAGATGCATGTAACGTAACCTCTCGCTGTAAGCAGAAACCTCGTATGACAGGCAGGTCACAGGGCAGCGCTGTTTTGACGGCATGCCAAATCAAATGGGCACCCCACTCGGTAAACATGGCAGTCACAAATCACAGACGTGTCCGTCTGTCTGTGGACCTTCCAGTCCCCGCCCCCCCCCCCCCCCCTACACGCCCCCCCCCCCCCCCCCCCCCCCCCCCCCCCCCCCCCCCCCCCCCCCCCCCCCCCCAACTACTACCACCACACACAAACACACACATATATGTATACTACCTCCTTCGCAGTTGGGGGAGATGGGTGCCCCTGTCCGTTCTCTCCGCGGGACGGAGGTGGGTGCAAGGTGATGATGTCATCATCTTCTGGAGGCTTCCAGATGTACTGCTCCCCATTGCCCATGAACACCGCCTCCTGGTAAACAAAATCAAATGAGGAGGTCAGGCAAGTACTGCAATCACAATCTGGAAGTCTTTGTGCAATAGTGTAGAAATATTTAAAACATGTAATTATATGTAATGACACTGTGCTGTGCTTGATTGTGTGTCTTTTTTTTTTTGTTGTTTTTGTTGCTTTCAGTGCGTGTTTGTCCTAAGACCTATGAGTTGTGGAAGTTTTCATTTGCCATGTTTGCTCAATAGGTAAACAGTGACCATGGTGTACAGCATGGGCGGAGGACAGATTGTGCATGTGTGAGTGTGTGTGTGCATGCATGTGTGTGTGTGTGTGTGTGTGTGTGTGTGTGTGTGTGTGGGAGAGAGAGCATTTGTTTTGAAGGTCAGAGGTCATGCTTGCATGAATGATGCGCTGTGGGAATAATGTGAACTGTTTTTATCAAGTTTTGCCAGTACAGCCGTAATCAAAATTATTGACCAAACAAGGTTATAGTCATAAAAGTGTCACTTTTAATGCTTTTCGGTGATAAATGTCCCTATATCCACCTATGGTAAATGCTTTTTACTTCTCTTTTGCTCTCCAAGGGTAGCGTTAATGTCAAGATCCAAACAAACAAGTCAGCGAGTGGCACTGTCAAAAAGACAGTGGGCGTTGAGAACGGTCTCCTCAGCTGGCAGCTGCTCTGAAACCGGTTTCTAACTGGAATCAGATGCTACTGACATTACTTATCCTTTGTTGCCACAGCTGAATGTTTCTGTTACTATTAAGTTAAGTGTTAATGAACTTTGTATCTTTTACAAAAACCACCACAACGAATTACCAGAGGGCTTGTGCTATATGCAAGCATCAGGGAATGCCTGCTCAGTTGTTGAATTTTCATTAAGAGTTTATTAGTTCCTCATTATTCTGTGAACAACCTTTTTCTTTTATACGAATCCACACATTCAAAGATATCCGGCTGACAGACAGGAAGAACCCACCGACATACAGACAATGCTGCAAAAACATATTCCCCATTTAATGCTACTGGTCGAGGTCATTTTGGCAGTTTAGGGAAGACAATTGAAATTTGTGTTTTAAAATTTATTTAAAATTTTATTTATTAAAATTCTCTGTATGTTTCTATCTGCTTAATAATAGTTGAATATGAAAAACAAAAGAAACCTGGCTGCCTGAGTCAAAAATGGACGTGATAAAATAATAACCAAACAAGTAACTGCTCCTGTTAAATTTTTATCACAGCTGGTGATCAAAACCAATTAGACACCAATTAGAAAGCATGTAGTGGTGTGTGCACATGCAACCAAGGATGATTAAACTTTTATATGCTCCTCCTGTGCAGTGTGAGTGAGTAATAGAAGCCAGGGCAGAGTAAATGGCTTCAACATGTTAACATTATTTATCCCAACACTGGCTGCTGGCTACCTGTTAGCCGTTTCTAGATGGACTTGCTGATAGACTCAACACACACACACACACACACACACACACACACACTCACACACACACACACACACACACACACACACACACATATACACAGGCAGCTTGGCAGTGTGCCAAGCTCTTACATAATCCATCCTTCCACTCTTTACTCTGGCCACCGTAATAGCGTGCTGCACAAGCACAGTGCGAAGGGGCGGAAGAAACACACACAGGCACACACACATGCACATACACACATCTAAACACACACTATCAAGGATTTAGCATACGCAGATTAAAAGTGCAGGTCAACAACAGGCCTGACATCCACAGCTAATGCAAAAATTGTCTAAACAACTATATCAATCTCCTTAATTCACTAACACAAAAGACAAAGGCACCTGTTTTATGCTCTGCCAAACACACATACATGAAAAATAGATGTGTGTGCCAGCAAACCCACAGGAGAGGCTGATCACCATCCGATCATTGTACCTCTGTTTCCCTCTCAGAACTGCCCTAATCTGTGGCCTTGACTGTTTGTATACAAATCCCAGCTGGCACATACAACAACGTTCAAATACAAGACTAAATCATAAACCAGGAGTTATTACAGTTGGTTTATAAGTTTGTGAATTTTATCGATGGTGATTTTGTTCCAAATATTTTTTCAGAAACAGAGGAATATGTCCACATATGCATACATTGACAATAAATGACAATAATATAGTAAACATGTATGGTAAGATCTGAGAAGAAGACATCAAGTGACTAAAATATAAATAACATAAATCCTCCAGTCTGAACACAGAGAGCCATTTGTTTGTGGACAGTGCCCTCTGGTGGAGAACAGACAGACTTACAGTTTGGACAGGTGGATGGTTCAGTAATATTGTGCAATGCCTAAGGTGGATGGGGAGCATATTGAACCAATGATTGCTGTACCTTTGGGAAGGAGTGCAGGTGAAACGGCTCCAGCGGCTTGCGTGGAAATTCCTGACTGCGGTGTAGCGGAGGAGGGGCGGCAGAGGGTGAATCACTCACGCTCGACTGGCTGTCTGACTGGCTGTCGGCCCCGTTATTTTCCTTCCTGTTTGTCTTGTCAACCTTTAAGTATTGAGTCACCAGTGAAAACATTATACTTGAAGTTCTTTCAGTGAAAGAACGCAGCAAAAAGTCCACACAATCACGTATTTTTCCATCTCTCATGCATGTCAGAGGAGAATTTTCGATCTAAGCAGGAGACTATAAGTTAATACTGTCTTTTTTTCTCCAAATATCATACATTGTATTTCATGAGATAGTTTCAGTTTGATTAATTTTAATATTTGACATGATTTTTCAGAGCCAAACAAGCTGATCGATGCTCCTCTATGTCTCTGTGCACAGTATAAAAAGAAGCCTAATTACACCAGCGTTTAGTTCAGTGTGACGCCTCTTGCTACCACCCTCTATCACTGCAAAAAACTATGTTGCAATACCTGGCTTTTTAACCACAGTTGATCATATCACTCACTGCTCTTCTTGAGACTGATTACAATCACAGAAACACTTTTGTAGACATAAGATATGGTATGGCCACATGGCATGAGAGATAAACATCTCCTGTTACCACTGCAGAGACAGTCAGTACTTTCCTGCTAATGTTATCCATCATTTTTTGTTGACAATGTCATGTGACAATATACCTGTAGAGTACAGCTGCATGTCTGTGTCTGTATTAGCACAGGTTGCACTTCTTATTGGAAATGCTACAATACTGCTGCAGCCCTGGAACGTACCTTCAAACTTTACGAGTTTATCCAAGTTGGGCTTAGTAAGACAAGTCGTGACATTTCCATAGAAACCAAACTATTCATTTAACTGAATCAAAAGGGGGAGCATCACCTCGTTAATTTCAAATAACCACCTGAACAACTGATAAGAACGTATATTACATTTGATTACCTTTCTGAACTTCCGTATGGAAGCGTACTCCGCTACAGTTGGATCTTGAATGGCCAGGGAGTTAACAGAAGACAGGGGGGACCTATTGACCCCGCTCGCCCCATTACCTCTTCCTGCCATCGGACTGTTAATGGTTCCATTCCCTCTGCCATTCCCTCTGCCACCCTGTTAAGAAACACACAAGATTTAGTTTTACTAAATATGTCAGTTACAAATGACTGTTACACTGCTAACTGTTACTAATGAACACGGAAACACAGAACCACTGATGCAAAGCACACTAAAGAAGCCCCAGCTGCAGCTCCTGCACAGCTTATGCATGCCACCTACAAGCAAACCGAAAAAATACCCTTTATAGCGCTTACATTAATTTCATGCAGGGAATACATGTGTTACAACAGCAGCAGAAATTACTTTTTTGTGACCCCATGTCTACATCTGCATGTCTGACATGCTGCTGCAGTACAGGTTATTATGTGTAGAACTGGTCTGGTACTGACCTCCTGCTTGTAGAGCGTTTGCTGTTCATAGATGTGTGTGAGTGTCAGTCATGTTCCATTGGGTGCACTGCATTTAAAAGCATAATTTAAGTTTTGGATGTGTGTGTATATACATACGTTTCCGTGCCCGTTTCCATTGCGGGCTCCGTTGACATGAGCTGGGGGGCTTTGGGCAGCTCTGATTATGGCTGGAGTGTTGGCTGAAGTGGGCGGCGGGGCAGAGGGTACCTTGGGGCCCATGTCACCTTCCCGGACTCCTACACTTTCGTACAGGCCATCATCCAGGCAGTAGGTGGGGGTGGGGTTGTTGCGCAGGCCCACCTCGGTGTACGTGTGGTCTCTGGCCTCCCCTCCTCCTCCCGCTCCTCCTCCTCCTCCTCCCCCTCCTCCTCCGCCTCCTCCCCCATCTCCTCCTGTTTCCCCTGCCTCCCCCTGGCCGGATCCCTGGGGACTGTTGGGGATCTGGGGAAGCTGGCGCCCATGGGAGGGCCTCAGGTCCGTCTGGGAGCACCGACTGTGGAGGAGCAGAAGGTCCATACTGGCTGGACGGCTCTTGCTAACAGCTGCACACAGAAGAGGAAGAGGAGGAGGAGGAGGGAGATAGAGAAAGCGATGGAGGGGGCAGGACTTAAATGATGTAACAGCATAGGATTGTATGTCGTATATTCTCACATATGAACTGTCGTTCATCACTTACAGTTTCCGTTGCAGGGAAAGCGATTTATCTCATGCAGTCTGGTGTCAGATTTGCTCATGGAGTTCAGTTTCGGATGCCGGAGTGTACCCTGCTGTCACACACATACGGACATGTTAATACAGAAATTAAACATGCATGTGCGTCTGTATACGCAACCAGCTATTGAGGGAGGAAGCTTACAGGGAAACGAGGAGAAGAAGATGGACGGGGTGAGAGAGGGAGGGAGGGGCAGAGGGGAGTAAAACGAAAGCATGTCTCACCATATTTACAGATGTCCCTTTCTCTCCGGCTGGGGGGTGCTTGCTCTTGCTTTTTCTGACACAACATCAAAGTGAGGAAGGTCAACAGGAGCCGGTGGACAGAGAGAGAACATACACACACTCAGAGCACATAGATACTATCAGCATCCAACTCTGGTTAGGGCATAAAAGTCCTTGGTTGATAACAAGAGCCCAGTCAAACATTGAGTGGAGCGTGACTCGGGTTTTTGCCAAAGCAGAGGATGTCCTTCACTGACAAACTTTTCTTTTCTTCTTTTTCTTCCAGTTATTTTCATGATAACACCAAACTCACAGTTATCATTTTCCTTCATGCTAATCCCCTTTGCTGTTTCACTTTACAATCCTCTGGTTGTGCAACAAATGTATCTACAGTACTGTTGCGCATCATTGCGGATCCCGGAAGGTGACTGTTACTGTAGCCATAGGAAACTGTTGATATGGCGAGAGAGAGTGAAGAGGTGAAGTAAGAAGACGAAAGCTCCTGGGTGCAGGTGTGAATGTGAGATCTGTTCTACCCCCGTCTCTTTTCTCTCACTTTGGAGGGTGAGGATCTGCATCACGTAACGTGTGAGATTTTACTGCTGCGCTGCAAAAACACAATGTAGCAATAAATAGCATTTCTGGTTTTGCTAGCAGGTGCAAGAATCATAGAAATAGTGTATCACCTAATCACACATGTTGTCTGAGCATAAAAAGCACCGTGGCCAGTTGTGTCAGCTCCTTGTTACTGCAGCTAGCTGTTGTCTCCTCTAGTGAGCTGGAACTCCTTCCTATTCGGACAAACATATGGACATCATACCCGGAGGGGACCATGAGGAGGTCAAGAGAGCTCGCCTCGGATATGTTCATAATAGTCTGGCACAGGAAAGGGTTTTAGCTAAAAATGACAAGGAGGCATTAAGATGTATAACGAAGGGCAACAGTTATTTCGTAATTTTTAGACTGAAATCCACTCTAAGCCTCGGCCTCAAAAAGAACAAGTGAAGGGTTTATTTTAAATCAATAGAAGGAAATCAATAGCAGCAGGCCTCTCTTTCCAGGATCCATGGTATTTGTACATGACAAAGTAAATTTGAACTGGTGAACTACTGAACACTCGGCTCCTCAACACTACCGACATCCAGTGGGGAGCAAATATTTCATCTTTAGATCTTAACAATGGTGTGGTTTTATTTCCATGACATGAGCTGGTTTGACATTTCTCTACATCCTTATCTGTGTATCCCATGGCAACAAAGCCACAGTGCAGCCTCTGATTGGTCCCTTAGGGTTGTGAAAAAAAAAAAAGACGAAAAAAGAGAAAAAAAAAAAAAACAGCCTGTTCCATTGCTCTTGCCTGGCTCAGAGTCTGATCCTCTTTAAACCGCAGGGTGTTCCACTGCTTTTGCCTGCTGAGGAGTCTGCTTAAGAAGGGTGATGTGAGGCTGCTCTGACTCTGGCCTGTCTCCTCAGCATCCTGTAAACATCATTTCATCTGATCTGACACTCGCAGCCATTAACATTCATTACTGCCACTCTGCTCTGAGCAGGGGATAAAAGAGACGGAGAGGGCGGACAGAGGGAAGAGAAAGAAGGAGGAGAAGAGTTCAGAAGAAGTAGAGACACATAAAAGAAGGAGTGGATGATGAGAGTGATCTGGGAGGGCACGGAAAGCTGGCAACAGAGATGATAAAACTCTGGCTGTCCTCTTTTCTTTTCTTTTTCTTATTTCAGTCTACCCCCCCACCCCCCCACCTCCTACTTTTCTTTCACATTTTCAGTCACATGACCATCCTCTTACCTTTGACAGCCAACGCAGACAAGGACAATAAGGATGGTGACCACGAAGGCAGATGCTGCTGCAATGGCTCCCAGGAGCAGCAAGTTCTGGTAGGGAGGCTCCTCGGCAGTCGAATCCATGACACCCACTCACTCACTCACTCACTCACTCACTCACTCACTCACTTCCACTTGAGCTAAAACTCTGCCACACAGACCGTCTGCTCCGGAAAACCTGCAGAGATAAGGAAAGAGGAAGAAAGGAGAGGAAAAGGTACAACATATGAGTGACATGTGAGATAAGAACAAACTGAAGGAATGCTGCAGAGAGCGAGTGAGAAACGGCGTGTGTGTGTTTGTGCATGTGTGTGTATGTGTGCTTGGTTTGCCTCTGGCTTTTTGTCACTATCTCTTTCTGACATATCAGTTTCTATTTTTGACTCACTAGGAGAATAATGCACAGAAAATAGAACACCTTACAAGGCAGCCAGAATGAGCATGCCAAAAAAGGTTTCATCACGCTCTTTCTTTTTTGTTAAAAAAAGATCAAATGATACCGTAACATGCGTTTCACTAGCCAGAGAGATTCTTCTGTTAGTTTAACAGGAAAAAAAAAAAAATCAACTGAGCTCCCCAGAGTAGTGTCTCACTGACGGAAGGACCAGATCCACTGCTGTTACACTTCATTTCCTGGCAGAACACTCTCTTTTTTCCTCCAATCAACAGTGGTTCAAACTCTCACAACAAGAATATCCTTCTTTTTTTTTTTAAACAGTGGTACATAGTGCAGTAATTGTTGTATGACAAACAAGGTAGAGCTTTCACCTGTCTTATACCTGAAGTCTTTCTACGTCTCTGACACACCAGGGCAACACAAACCCTCCACAACGACCCCCTCCACACACACATACGCACTCGCACTCAATTCATGTCAGACAAAATTATCTCTGAGGAGATTAGCACGCCGTTCCTGCACTGCTGGATGAGTTTAGACGGATTTGTATACTGCTTCAAAAGCAACTTCTAAAAACGCTTTCAAAGTGTCGCAAGGGTAAAAACTTCATAGTGTTCTACATAAAGTGTGTAGGTGGTTAAGATGAGTTAGTGCCAGAGGTATAAGGTAAGATTAAGTATCTGTATCTGTAAATATTGTACTTTTCTTTTTTTCTTTTTACTGCACTGGATTTAAACGACAGTTGCAGTTAACATTCTGTATATTTTGCAGAATAAAATTTTGTGTGGAAAAGCTACAGTGTGCTCAAAAATATTATGTGCTGCTGAAGTTTAAAGGAAGACTTCTGGACAAATAACCTCTGTGCTTTCTTTCTGAAAGTAGGATGAGAAGTTGAATAACCAACCTCATGTCTGTGCATTAAAGAAGCAGAGAGAACCAGCTAGACTGGCTCTGTCCAAAAAATATTCTTACCAACAGACTTCGTGTCTGTGTTAAAATAGCCAGCAGCATATGATTTTCCTTTTGATATTTTAGTTCGGCATTTTGCTGCAAATGCCTCTATACATTTACTAAAGTGAATATTTGACTGCAGAACTTATCATTTTAACAAACTATCTGGATACTGTAGTATTGTTATATTTTAAGTAAGTCTGAACAATTAATCAAAATATTATTGAAATTGCAGTTTGCCAAGTGCAGCATCCAAATCGCAGGAGCTGCAATTTTTTGATGAAGGTAATAATAAAATGTAATGCGTCACAACATACCAGTATGAATGGAGCATCGCGGTGCTACAGACATTCCTTGTTTTACAAATCATATTCATTCCCACTAAAACCATGACTCATCACAATCCTTCAGCCCTAATTTCAAGTAAAGGAGTAATGAGTAATTAGTGATTAGTTCTAAACTAGCGATTTACTAAATTTGGTCGCACTACATCTGTAGCACTGTCCTAGTCCACGTCACTGCAGCATCACAAGTTCTAACATAACTGTGAAAATAACAACTTCACGGGGGGGGCAAAGAATATATTAAACTCAACCACAAATCCTTTGTAAATGTAGCTATCACTTATATTACATACATGGTGTCAGAGTTAGAAGTATATGTCTAGTTTAGAATTAATTGGAAATATCTAATCTGATTATGCTAACCTCACTGACACTGTTTTCTCAGTTAAGGAAACATTACTGGCACAATATTTTGTAAATTGAGGTATACTGTGTTGATTTTGTGAAATCCAATCTAAAAATCTTCCTGTTTCATATGATCAAGCTAAACAGTCATATATTAGCGAGCAAACATTAGCTCTGTCAGCTAGCGTTAACTGTTGCACTTGGCAGATACTGGGTGTAAATATTTAGCAACAACTAATCTGTGCTAGTATGTGTGGTGCAACCGGTTTCAATTTGGTGATCTGGCGAATCTCCACTGAGTAAACATCTACATGTTAAGTTGGCTAAGTTTGGGCTTAAAAAGAGCTGGTGCCAACCGGCTCCTGGAACATAGCGTCCTAAATGTCTCTTGAGCAGGTACAGGTTTCGGGTACGTTCACAATCACTGACATATCAGCACAAGACGTTTGTTAATGGAGCAGTTACACATGCCCTCACTACTCTGCACACTCTCCAGAGGAAAGACAACACACACATGCATATGCTACATATTCTGTGCATTCCTTTGGTAAGAGAGACAATGGCAGCAATGTGGTTTAAATATTAGATTAGAGAAAAAGCTGAACATCAGGAATCCAATTGACAAAGCAAGCAGTGAACAGAAGGAGGTCATGGCAAGCTACTGTATATATTGTGTGTGTGTGTGTGAGAGAGAGAGAGAGAGAGAGAGAGAGAGAGAGAGGGGGGAGATTCTGGAATATACCACCACAGGATCTGGCTCTGGCTTTCTGTTTCTTGGAGATAAAACTGCATCTTTTTTTTTTTTTTTCCCCCATGTCCTCCTTTCTTGGTCCCTCTCCCTCTCTCTTCCTCCAGATCTCCTCTCCTCCTCTCCCTCTGTCTGTCTGTCTGCCTGACCCTGCAGATATGTTAGGCGATGCACAGCGAATGAATTAGCAGAGCAGAGGCCTCAGACAGCCCTTCATGGAGTAGACAGACAGGCAGGCAGGCAGGCAGGCAGGCAGACAGTGTACAGAGAGGCAAAAAAAAAAATTGAGAGGGAGAGGGTGAATGAAACGGAAGGGTAAGACAGAGGTGATGAGACATAGGAGCAAATGAGTGGGATGAAAGGACAGACAGGTGGGAGAAGATGCAAGAAAGCAGGAGGAAGACCGAGAAAGAGGGGAGCGCACTTGAAACATGAAGGAGGAACGAGGAGGGGAGGGTGTGAACAGTGGGGGAGGGAAGAGAGAAAAGAGAGTGATGAGACTAGGAAGATGAAGACAGTGAGAGAAATAGCGGGGAAGCCTGTGAGAATGTGCGATGAGCGCAGGGATGGAGGGGAGGGGAAGGAGGGTGGTGGTGGTGGGGGGGCGGGGGCACGGAGAGAGAAGAAAAGGAGGAGGAGGTGATGAGAAGGAGGTCATCAGCGGTCTGTTTCTGCCTGCATTTTGTCAGCCCCCCTCATCTGAAATATTCAGAGGAGAAACACATACAAGGGTTTATGTTTCTGAAGCGCACAACAGCACAACACAATGCAAGATGGGAGCACATGTCTAGCGGCACACTTAACAGTATGCGAAGCTCACAAGTGGTGAGGAGACAAGACTCCGGAGGAGGAGAGGCACTTTGTGCACGACGCACAACACCCCTGCAGCACGCTCAACAATGACACACAGTTAGGGTGCAAGAATGTTTATTCCAGCATCCGTCTTCATATTCAGAGCATTACGAGTGGAGTGATGACAGTGGTAATAACAGCATATTGAGAATGATGACGACGGTGGTGATAGCCCTATTGATGCCTGCTGCTGGCGATGATGATTATAAAAAAAAAAAGAAAAAAAGAAAAAAAAGGAAAAAAAAGAAAAAAAGACATCAGCAGCGATGATGACGATGATGAAGGGTGCAGCTACTAATACTGATGGTAATGATGGTGATAATGAGGTCAAACTGAGAGCTGCGAAGACGCGCTGAGGGGCGGATGCAGGCAGCAGAACTGGCAAAGCAGCAAGCAGGATGCAGCGGTGCAGCGCAACCACAGGGTGGAAGGTTTCCTCTGTGTTTCTCTAGAGATCACACACACACACACACACACACACACACACACACACACACACACACACACATGCACAGCTCACAGTACAGACCAAAATACATGTACACCAGCATAAAAATGATAAGATTGCTATTGTTGAAAACCTAACAACAAGCTTTGGATTACAAAATCAAAAGTCAAGCTAACGCACTCTTTAGCCCTCAGACGCACAGCTGGGGGTCTAACAGACTCTGCAGCCTCTTTATTATGCAATATCTGCTCAAACAAAAGCTAATTATAGTCTACACTCCCAGTCATGAAATAGATTTTTGATAAGAAATTCAACTAATTTTTCATGTGAACTAAAAAACTGTTGTTGGGATAATTAGGTTTATAGCCTTAGTTTTCAGCTCTTGGTTTAAACTGGCCGCAATTCATTTTCACTTTTTGTGCCTATTACAGTTTCTTTAAGCGATATATCTGTCATTCACGATTCTCTGACCTCGTCACATGGAGATTAAATCCAACAAAAAAAAAAGGACATTTTTCTCCTAACAGGATCCAACAGACCCTGATAACATACTGGTGAATACTACAGTGTTTTTTTTTTAATGTGTCATCTGTTTGATTCGTAATGAATCATCAAGAGGCTGTTTCATAAACAATGCTTTTGACTGTGGAAATATCTTGCTGGGGTCTCTTGGATCGCATCGCAGCTTGAAAAGTAGGACATTTTTTTAAGGTTTAAAAATAAGTGTAACCTGATTTCAGTTATGTTTCAGGGATGACATTTACATTTACAGTTTCGCTTTGGATTACATCATGCGTTGTTATAAATTGATAATGCTTTCAGTAGCTAGACAAGACATGTTGGTTCAGCTTTCAGGGTAGGATAGCTTTTACTGAAAGAGCAGAACAACTGAATAGAGTTGACTTCAACACCAACACAGCAAAATGCTTTACAAAATATACATGTGTATATAAAGTATATCAAGGTGTAGTGGGAGGTTCTCTTATGACAATTCACAATCAGAGGTATTTATTTGAATTATTCAACATCACGTTGTCTGTCACCAGTACCTGACAACCAGTGTTAAGTAGAGATAACATTTTTAAGAATTCTA